GGGTAATTGGAAACAACTGTGTGTGTGTGTGTGTGTGTGTGTGTGTGTGTGTGTGCAGGTTTAACTTCATATTAGTGCTCGCTGTCAATAGAGACATGTTCAACGAAAGAGATAATTTTCCTGCAGGAGAAAGAGCTTTGTTAGATTTATGCTCCTTCCTGTCAAATACTAAAAGATGTGAACAAGTCGGTATAAACAATGTTTGTAGGCTAGAGCTAGTCTTAAGTTTGTGTCTCATTTTTTTCCCCCTGGTTTCACTATTTTGTCTGTTTTTGTTGTGAGCACTTTCAGCACAGTGACATGTGCTCGTGCTCTTGCTAATGAGGAGGTGGTTCAATGAATCTTGCTTAGCTTAGTCTCTTACTTGTGAAGCTGTGACGTAACCAGTTCAAACAGAAAACCACTGATGTAAGTGTGAAAGAGAAGATACAGTAACTAATGAACTAGATAGGGGTCGTTTCAGCCTGCTTTCAAACTGTGTTAATAATTTCCAGCCTGCATGCAATATGCAAAATGAAATTGGTTGCCATGTAAACTATGGTAACCAACTGGGTTTCCTGTTGTTTTTGTTATTCTCATTCACCTCTTGTAGAAATCCCGTCAGATGATGCTCCTTCACTGGTATATTGGTTGGTTTTAAATGTACAATATGTTATTTCTACTGCTAGGAGGTCTCTCACATCAAAACAATTACTAAAGACTGAGTTTTACGATGCCATGAAGGAGTGTCAGATCATGGGAGTTGTTGTTTTCACCACCATTGTTGTCACTGCAGTCAGCTGGTTAGGGTTCCTTCAGTGATAATTGTTCATTAAAAATAAAAAAGCAATACAAATCAGTGTTTTTCCGACAAAGGACGTCCCGGAGCTGCTGCTAATGTTAGCTGAGCTTGTTTATGTGATAACTTACAATCCCTCATCCATGTGTGTGTATATATATAAATATATAAATATATGTATACAGAGAGAGAGAGAGAGAGAGAAACAATCTCTTGATTGTAAAAATGTGGCTTATAACTAGATAAAAAATGTATGACAGCTTCTGGCAGACAACAATGCTCACATATGAGCAAAGGGGATATGACACCGTTTTTTCTCTGGGTTTGAACATTGTTAAAACATTTGGAATAATGTAAGTACACAACTCAAAAAATATATAAAATAGGTGTAGTGTTTATAGACATTTTAATGCGGACATGTTACATATTATATCATTAACAGTCAAGTAACACTTCAGCCAGAAGCCTGCAAAAAACACTCAATAGCAATTTCAATTATGTTCATTCCCCTCCCATGTATTCTCATAATTCACCCATCTTCTCTGCTCGGTTTTATCTTCTCCTCTCCTCATTCCTCTAACCCTCCAGCCCTCCATCCATCCTTCCTCCCTTTATCTTTTACCCCCTCACACCCTCTGTATATGCAAATACGTCCCCATTACACTAATTGGCTCTGGGAGGTTTGAATATTTCACATGGACCATCTTCACAGCACGGGCGGGTGAGTATGGGCTGCGATATAACATCACACAAGCTAACGTGCTAATGGTAATCTCACACACACACACACACACACACACACACTGAAAGTATGAATGAGTGAACAGAGGTCATGTAATTTACACACTGTGCCTGTCATATTAGCCAAATGAAGCAGGGCTGAGTTATGGGGTGGTGTGGGGTTAGCATGTGTGCGTGTGTGTGTGTGTATGTATGTATTTGTGTGTCAGGCCACTCTGCATCAGAGTGAATTATGCAGTCATTATTCGTGGTTGCGTCTGTAGAGGAGACGCTCTCTGATCTCTGTGTGTCGTCTTTATTGAAGAACAAAGGTTGTGTTTTGGTATGTCTCCCTTTTAGCTTGACCTCTTAGGAGGATGTTTGTTGTCAGAAATAAATGGCACATAATTGATGTGATGATGTTTGTGACCTTTAACACAGGGTTGTGGATTGGCCATGTCCTTTCACTGCTGTGACAAGCGTCCCAAATACCCAAATCATGCCTGTGAGAAATGTTTTTTCTTATCTCCATAACTTTAAAATTGTTTCATTTCCCTTTATTTCATAGGAGAACAAAAGTTTTTGGATGTTGTTCTGGAAGGTCAGTTCAACAACATTCAGTGTTTTGACAAAACAAACCAACTAAACTAGGTCCACTTACTAGCTATTTTCCACAGCTTTCAACTGTATTAACTAGTCTTCATCAGTGTATGCAGACATGTAAGCTCATCTATATCACATTTAGGACTTGTACTATAAGCACACCTTAGGTAGCTATTTTCTCGTTTGTCAATTAGCCTAATAAATGTTCAGTATGTGTAATCTTTTATTGTTTTACCTTTGAAATTAAATTTTCCATAAGACGTTATTAAGATTGTATGCAAATCAAACTTGGCACCAACCACTGCAGAAACCTGGATGTCAGTAACTGGCAGCGGTAGCTCCAGCGGGGTTGTAGGTGGAAAGCCAGTGAGAATTCTCGTCTTTGTTACCAAGGCCGCAAAATACTGCAGTCATGAACCCAAATTTCCTCAATGTAACTACTTTTTGACCTGTCACCATTCAAAACAACGTAAATTCACATTTTATTTATTTAGTTAACTGTTTATTTTCCTACTTGAATCTTATCTTATCCAGGTATGTTATTCTAATGAAGAGCCACTTTAATTTTCATTTATTTATTTATTTTTTTATACCTAAATTTGTCAAATTTAGCATATTCTAAATAGGTTACAATCTAAAGAGAAAGTCTTGGTCGCTTGATGAATATGTATGCAGATGAAGATATATTAACGAAGCACTGACCTTCATCTTCCTTGTGGTTCTTGTTTGGTAATAAACTCTTAGACGCTCTCTACACGCCCACTACACCACTCTGACTGAAGTGTGCATATCTGTGTGTATTCCTGTAGTTCGGCCGAAAGGCGTGGTCCTTACTAATGAATCACTCGTTTTATTCTTTCATCTGTTCACTCCCTCCATCTTTCTCTCATCCATCACTTTCTACATTTATCTCCTTCTCCTTCTCACTCTCTCCTTCTCCTTCCCTTTCTAATCAGCTGGCCTGTAAATTTCTCTGTTGTTGCTGTCTTCCGATATCTTTTTTCATCCCCTCAGTTGAATGCCAGTAAAAAATGTAAGCTTTTTCATTATCTGAATTCAAACCGTGGCTCTCT